CTTTCATAGCTGCCCCACCCACCCCTTTCTGTCTTTCTTCCTTTCATTCACTCTTATCTCTTGATAAATGAATTAAGAGTTGGTGACCTAGCATTTTACCACTTACAGAAACATTATCTTATGTTGTTGTTCTGGTAAAAAAAAAAGAAAGCTGTGTTTTAAAATCTCCAAAATACAAATGACATTAGCTATGTCTCAGAGTGAGGTAGTTTAGAAATTAAAAATTAAAATTACACATTGTTTAAAGTTTTGTTCCTAGTTATTACAGTACAACCCATTTGGAGAAAGGAGACTAAAAAAACTCCTTTACAATTCCTTCTTAATATAATTGTGGTTAGAACCTTAGCGTCTCTCCCATATTTTTATGACACGATTTTAATGCTAGGATTTTATAATGCATTGAGCTGCTAACGGCAAGGTCAGCAGTTTGCAACCACTCGCTGCTTCTTAGGAGACAGGCGGGGTTTTCTACTCCTGTAAAGAGTTACAGCCTCAGAAGCTGTTGGGGGCAGTTCTACTCTGTCCTGTAGAGTCACTGTGACAGTCAATGTCATATGGGCTCGATGACAGTGGGATAATGCAAATGAATACAAGAGGGAGAAGTCCTTGTATTTAGCCTCTTTCCATAGCAGACCTGAGGGAGAGCAGTGGCAGTGGTGGCAGCAATAGGAAGGCAGGCTGTGCTCTTTGGCGAGGCTCCCCGTCTCTGTTCTCTGGAGCCTTGGGCTCGCGTCCCAGCACTGTCATGGCTGCTATTGTTAGGCATGTGCAGTCCATCTCTACCGACGGCGACCCCAGGTGAATAAAACTGTCACATTGGGTTTCCTAGGTTGTTGTCTCTATGGGAGCAGATGGCCAGGCCTGTCCCAGGCAGAGCTGCCGGGAGGAGTTCAAACTGCCGGCCTTTTGGTGAGCAGCCGGGCACTGACTGGTGTGGCACCAGGGCTCCTTTCCCCCTACGGCAGATAAGGAAACAGGCCTGAAAAGTACTGAAGTGGTGGAAATTAGATTCAAATCCAGGTTTACAGACTCCAAATCAACTCTTTTTGTATGTTTAAATATCTAATCATTTACAGAGGCGTCTGCCAATGCTTGTGCAAAAGTTCATCGCTGGAAAAAAAAATCCCTCTCCATTTTGTGGCCTCGTCACTCAGGCCTGCTTGAGCTACAGGGGCCTGAGAGGCATGAGTGAAGGGGCTAAGCAGGAAGGGATGATGAGGCACGGTTTGTTCCCAATCACATGATATGATGGTTTACTATGAGTAAGTCTGGTCCAGGTTTTAGCTAAAACAACAGATTTGAGAGTTCTAAACCTACGTGGCATGATTTGCTCTATTGAGAGCCCGTGTCAGACACGAATAATAGCACATTTTTTTCTGCTATGTCCAGACTGCACTCCCCCCACCCCCCCATCTAGGCAGAGGTATCCATTCGTCATATGCTACCAACAACAACCTACCCCACTGCTGTCCATCTAATGCACTCTGACTCAGAACAACACTATACAGACTGTGCATCTTTACAAGGACACTTCCCACTCAACAACCATCGAGTCCGTTCCGACTTGGAGTGACCCTACAGGCCAGAGCGGATCTTCCCTTTGGGGTTTCCAAGATTGTGAGGCTATCATTCTTCATGGGAGCAGTTGCATCTTTCTCCCTTGGAGTTGAACTGCTGACCTTTCTGATAGCAGATCTAAGGGCTCCTTACAGGATCAGGTACACAAAATAATAGTAAAACAAACCAAATTCACTGCCATTGAGTTGATTCCATTACACGATGAGCCTATAGGACAGGAAAAAAATGATCTTGGTGGGTTTCTGAGATTAGAACTACGTATGGGGAAAAAGACCCTTATCTTTCTCCCGTGGAGCTGGCAGTGGTTTTGAACTGTTGACTTTGTGGATCATATAACCACTACACCACCAGCGCAGTGGTTGAGTGTGAACTATTGACTCTTATGTTAGTAGTCCAGTGCTTACTCAGTGGAGCTGTTTGTGGTTTCAAACTGCTGACCTTATGGTTAGCAACCTAATGCTTAACCACTACGCCACCAGGGGAGATCAAATAGATTGTGGCGAGTTGTTTGTTTTCGTTGATTCTGACTCCTGGCAATCCCATGTGTGTAGAGTAGAACTGGGCCCCACAGGACTTTCACAGCTGCGACCTTTCAAGCTTTTCCTCTGCAGTGCTGCCAGGTGGGTTCTAAGTGCCAACCCTCTGGCTCGTTGCCCAGTGCTTAACCAAAATGCCACACAGCTGACCATGAGTGTTGGGGAAGTTAAACATTTCCAAAGTGTCCTTGAAAGTCTGTCCGTGACTCTGACTTTGGCGTGTTGGCTTCACTGCAGGTTTCAATGTCAATCACCTGGACATTGCCCCCCGCTATGCCAGCATCCTCATGGGGATCTCAAATGGAGTGGGGACCCTCTCTGGAATGGTCTGTCCCCTCATTGTCGGTGCAATGACCAAGCACAAGGTAATGGCTTCCCTGGGGGCTTGTAGCTAAGTTGTCCAGAGACTGAAGCACTACACACACACACACACACACACACACACACACACACACACACACACACACAAAATCTGCCATCTCAGGACCCTTTGCCGCCTGTAACCATGGGGAGTGTGTGTCTTCTGTGAACTTGGCTGAGTTCAATGGACTTCTTTGTTATTTTCTTATTATGTTTAAATCACTGTTTCTTTAAATCATCATTTGGGTCCCCATTTCCTCAAGTGGGCACTCCACAGTGACGGGCAGAGAACATGCCATGGACACCGTTTTAGAGACACCACAAAGAAGAAACTGAGGCGGTCGATGGATGGCTCAGGATCATGCTCTAATTCTGAGTGATTACACTTTGTGGGCCTTTTCCATCCAGTGCCTCAGAATGTTGCAGTGTAAACAAGCGAGTGCTGATGTACTTCCTTGTGCAGATGCACACAAGCAAGTCGTGAATGGCTTTTCCTGAGAACCATAAGGGTGCGGCATCCAATCGTTACTGCATCTTCGTAGGTTTAGACTGGGGGGGGAGGGGGTGCTGGCAGGGGAAGATCCTGGGACCAGAGTTCAACCGTAGGCCACAGGACTCCCCTGGCTCTGCCGCTGAAAGAGTGTCAGGAGGCGGCGCTGGTACTTTCTGCAGATCAGACCTGTGGGGGCAGACATTTAACACCTTCCCTATTTTTTACATCCTGATATTGTTTTCTTGGCTGGATTGCCTATTACAAACATGACTTCAGAAATTCTTACAGCTTCTTAGGGGTGGAAATATGGGGTGAGTTTCTTACTCTATCAAAAGAACAAGACGGGGGTTGGGGAGTTTATGGACATAGGACTCATGTTTTCCTCTCGGCTTATGAGTTGATAGGATTGGTAACCTGACTTAATGTCAAGAGACTCATCTTTCCCTACCTTTGAACACAACAGCCAATGAATTTGTCAATTAACTGTATCTTATGCAGAAATATGATTACAGATGAGCTAGTCAAAGATGAACATTTTTACTAGCTCAAATAATGTAACGTATCCAGTAGCAAGTGATAATTTTAAATGATGTTTAGAAGGATGGGTTTTTAAAGAACTTTAACACACTATGTGAGAGGGAATCCATTTGTACATACTTAGAAGAACTTTGCACAGTGCTGCATGGATTTTTTAACCTATTATTTATTTTAAAGTATTTTTTCAAACTGAAAAATGATATCCATCGAGGTCTCTTGAGCTTTTGTTTTTCAGCACCCCGATTCTGTTGGACACACTTAGGGATCCTCCATGTGGGCTCTGATACATCTTGTTGGGAAGCACAGAATGGCCTTTTGAGGCAGGCAGGAGCCTTTGCCTCATGGAAGACTCCCAAACATAGCATTGATCTATATTTTGGCGAAACCACTAATTGGCGCTTTGTCTCCTGTGCAGACCCGGGAGGAATGGCAAAAGGTGTTCCTCATAGCCGCCATGGTGCACTACACTGGTGTGATCTTCTACGGGGTCTTTGCCTCTGGGGAGAAACAGGAGTGGGCTGACCCTGAGAACCTCGCCGAGGAGAAGTGTGCGATCATCGACCAAGATGAGTTAGCTGAGGAAACAGAACTCAACCCCGAGAGTTTTGTGACCCCCCAAAAGAAGATGTCTTACGGAGCCACGACCCAGAATTGTCCAGTTGGGAAGAATGCATGGGGAGGGCAACGAGGAGACCCTCTCGATGAGGAAGGGCCGACATCCTACCAGAATGAAGACGGACACTTCCCAGAAACACTCTAGTGTTTGCGGGGCCCTAATCTGCTCTTCACTGTTGAGCCAGAAAGTATCCATGATTGCCTTCTCCACAACCGGGCTTTTTCGGGGGCCAGCAATGGGGGACACTGAAGATATGTGGGAAGAGGGAAGAGTTTCCACCAGCAATAGAGAAAAGAGAAAGACATTTATTGATCTGGAGCTTGATCTCAGTTGATAAAATAGATTAGTTTAACAACAACAACAAAAGATTGATTTTTGACCCTTCCTCAAAGAACCTCCTCTATTCAGCGAGGAACGATTAAAGGAACACGAGAGATAATACCAAGATGTTCAAAGAAACATGGAAGGAAATGGGTATATTTGGCCTCAAGCTTAATAGTTGCCAGCCTATTTCTGAGGGGCCCTGGGGCCTTGGACTGCCAGCCACAAGTTCCCTGCGCCTGTAAAGACCGACAGCTTCCGAAGCCCCCAGGGCCAGTTCTACCCTGTCCTGTAAGGGCAGCCCTAGCTGGGAGGTTTCATCCTTCCAATAAAGGCTGCTGCTCATGCAGATCCCATATTGCGCCAGGTGCTTTATAAAATTATTAGCTTTCCTGTGGGTTACTTTTCTTATTCCCATTTTACAACTGAGTAAACAGAAGCAATGAGAGATTAGTTTACCCAGGACCATGATGTGAGGGCCAGCAGAGCTTGGGGGAGAGAGATTTCAGTTTAGTGTAGAAAGTTTTCTAACAATGAATTCTCTCTGAAACTGGACTATCTTGTTCTGGGTCATTTCCTATGTAGGCAGGGGTCTGGGCCAGAAAATCATTTGGAATGATGTTGCCAAGGGGATTCAAACACTGGCTGAGGCATGAGATTCTCCAGACATTTAGGGTCCTAAACTAGTCAACTGAGTCTGTAAATCCAAAGCTTTTTAAGATAATAAAGATCACAGACCACATGAGAGATTCAGATATGCTAAAAGGAAAAATAAATTATTTGAGAAAACCAAATTTCCAGGAATTCGAAGATCAGAATGACCAGGAATCATTTAACAAGGGTATGATCATTTAAAATTTAAAAGCCATTTTATTTTAAAAAAATGATTTTTGAAGTGCTCTTATCACAACTTATACATCCATCCATTGTGTCAAGAACCTTTCTACATATGTTGCCATCACCATTTCAAAACATTTTCTTTCTACTTGAGCCCTTGGTATCAGTTTATTTCCCCTCCTGCCCCACCCTCCCTCCTTCATGAATCCTTGATCATTTATAAATTATTATTTTTTAATTGTTTTATTAGGGGGTCATACAACTCTTATCACAATCCATACATACATTAATTGTGTAAAGCACATTTGTACATTCATTGCCCTGATCATTCTCAGAACATTTGCTCTCCACTTAAGCCCCTGGCATCAGGTCCTCATTTTTTCCCCTCTCTCCCTGCTCCCCCCCTCGTGAACCCTTGATAATTTATAAATTATTTTGTCATATCTTGCCCTGTCTGACTTCTCCCTTCAACCACTTTTCTGTTGTCTGTCCCTCAGGGAGGAGGTCACATATAGATCCTTGTAATCAGTTTCCCCTTTCCATCCCACTCTCCCTCTACCCTCCCAATATCGCCACTCACACCACTGGTCCTGAAGGGATCATTTGCCCTGTATTCTCTGGATTTCCAGTTCCTATCTGTACCAGTGTACATCCTCTGGTCTAGCCAGATTTATAAGGTAGAATTGAGATCCATGATAGTAGGGGGAGGAAGCATTTAGGAACTAGAGGAAAGTTGTATGTTTCATCGGTGTTATATTGCCCCCTGATTGGCTTGTCTCTTCCTTGTGACCCTTCTGTGAGGGGATGTCCAATTGTCTACAGATGGGATTTGTGTCTCCACTCTGCCCTCCCCCTCATTCACATTGACATGATTTCTTGTTCTGGGTCTTTGATGCTTGATACCTGATCCCATCCACACCTCAGATCACACAGGCTGGTGTGATTCTTCCATGTGATGATCATTAGATCTAATCCTTTATGATATCAAGAGGGAAAGAAAGATGAGGCTTTCAACTCGCGTGAAGGGTTACAGTCTGAAAGTGCCCCCTAGGGGCAGTTCTACCCTCCCTATGTCGTCTCTCTGGGTCAGTATCAACTTGACAGTGAGAGAGAGAAAGCGCAACACCAGGAGTGAGGTTAAATAATGTTGCAAATCCCTTATACATCTCTAGCTCATTTACTAATTTAAGAAGCATGTTCCCGAGCTACCAGAGTTAAAATTCTCCTGAAAGGGTCCCCTACTAAAAGCAAACACCAAACACCTAAATGCATCTTTAGCTTTTTCTGTTGTGATTTTGTTTATGAAGTTGGATCAAATTATGAAACAGGATGAAAGTGTTAAGGACATGCTTGGTAAAGTCGAGGGGCAGAGGAGAAGAGGAAGGCCCTGGACAAGGTGGATGGACCCACTGGCTGCAGCAGTAAAACGCCGAAACTTAGGAACCGTTGTGAGGATGCTGCAGGACTGCACTGCGCTCCCTTCGGTTGTTCCTATGTTCGCTCTGAGTTGGAATCAACTCCACAGCGTCTGACAGCACGAGAGGATGAAATTGTTCCTAGTGATTCTATCGGGCAAACATCCAGGGGAATCACAATTCTACAGCAGCCGTTTACGGGGCATCACTCAGATGGAACCATCAGACAGTGTTGAAAATGCCATCTTTGGTTGGTATAAGGCAATCCCATGGATACTTTCAAGATCTATTTAATAATTTAATATTGGCATGTTAAAGGTCATTTAAAAATAAAATAAAATTATTTTCCTGTTCATTGTTTGGCACATTTTTATTTCTACTTTCAGATGAAATCACTGTAATATTGTGAATAAAAAGTTATAGGTTGGCTTGTAGTTTATTATTGTAAAGTATTTCCACCCCTCTCATCTCCCTCATGTCTATTTCTGGTCCCTAGTTGTATCAGAGGAATTACAGTGTATTTTATAAAAAGAATAATTTGGGGGGGAAAATAAAGTTTCCTGATTCTCTATTAAGTAATATTCTTTAATTCATTGGTGTGTGATATGTTACCAGACATCTTCAATCTCTATAATGAGTGAATCCATGTAATACTCTTAGAACATTTTCTGGCATATAGAAAGTGCTCAATAAATATTAGAATCGTTATTATCACCTCAAAATATTTTTGGAAACTTTCCAGTTGAAAGGAAGGTATGCATGTCATTTTCACCTAATCGTTACAGAGTTCATTGTAAACATTGTGCTGTTTTCTAAGTAAAAACAAAAATTAGAAATCTATGGTAACAGATATCTTTTTTGTGTGTAAATAAAGTCTGATAATTATAAAATTCTCCCAATAACCCTTAAGGGTTTATTGTAGACTGTGACACAAGGTTGTGTTTCCCCCATCACTTAAAGTTGATGTCATTTGCACAAATTCCTCATTATGAGAACTAAAGGTACTTAGAGAATCCATGACTATTCCCCTTACAATATTTTAAAAAATGGAGCGCTTAATTCTGGCATTAAAAATTAGGAACCATCCTGTGGAGATGTATTTTGCTCTGTGACAGTTGGTTAGACGG